TTTGAACTAAAAAAACTAATTTTTGAATAACTTTTTCAATTTAAATTTTTTTATTTTTACATGCCCTTAAAAATTTATCAAGCATGTTATACTAATAAATATATTTTAATTATTTATTAATTATATTAGAATATTTTATTATATTATAGTTTTACTTTTATAAATTTAAAATAATTAATTTATATATATTATTTTAATTGTAAAATATATAAATTTATTAAAATCAACATAAAATAGAAAATATAAATATAAATAATTTATTTTTATATTAAAATTACAATATATAAATTTTATACTAAAAATAAATTAAATTTATTGAAAATTATAAATATAATGAACTAATCGATAATTAACATAATAAATATATACACGAAAAAATTATTATTTTATATTTTACATCATTTTTAATAAAAAAAATATTTATATTTTTCAATAAAAGTATATTATTTTTAAAATCTAACTATAATAAATAAATACTATTTTATAACACTTTTACAATGTTCAATAACTAATAACAAAAATTTCAAACATTGTAAAATCAAAAGAACACAATTGAATATATTAAAAAATAAAACAAAATAAAAATGTCCTTAATTGTCATTTTACATATAAATATCTAATATCAAACAGTTGTTTTACTAAACTTTTTAATACAAACAACTAATTGAATCAGCTAGTCAAATTAGCTAATTGAAATCAGCTAAAAGCTAATTGCCAAACACACCTAAGAGATGGTCAATACATTCTTCCTTTTTTTATACTCCCTCCGTCCCTTAACAATCTATCCATTTTTCCATTTTGGTCCGTCCCATAACAAAGTATTCAATTCGTAATTGTATTGTCTACTATATTACAAATACCCTTCCAATTTACAATATATTATACAAATGTCATTACCTTTATATCATACAATACTAATAGGGTTAATTTAGTCTTTTTACCTTTATTTCTACTCTATCCCAATATAATACTAATATTTCTAAAATTCCGTGCAAAAAATAAATGGATATATAAATATGGGACGGAGGGAGTATATATTTATTATATTATATACTTTATATTTATGTATTATATAAAATTTTATTCTCTACATAATGATATATATATTGATAAATTTTTAAAAAATTTAAATTTTAAAAATAAATAATTTTGATATAAATATAAATATAAATATAAATATATTTTGTTTATTGAGTAGGAGAAAACATAATATAAAGTGAAGAAAAGAGAGTATAAAATAATATTGAAGAGATACTTTGATGAATATCTTTGTTGCAAGTGACCTAAATTGGTTGGAGTAATGTGAGGGCTAATAAATCATATTTCAAAATTAAATATTTACTTTTACCCCTATCCGTCAAATCAAAACATTATTTTTACTTATTACTCATAATTTTTTAAGTAATATTTAAATATCATTTAATTCTAATTATCAAATTCATATATAATTTTTTTAATAAAATAATAATTTTTTATAATGTAATTATTATAAAATTTAAATCTTTAAAAAAAACAACTTAAAAATTCTTATTTCAAAATTCGAAGGAAACTCTATAATCCAAACAAAAACAACTTAAATCATTACATTAATTTTTTTTTTTTTTTACTCTCTAAAATTTCAAATTTAAGAGGCTCATTATATATACAAGTGGTTGTATGACATCTTAAAGGAGCGTAATAAATAAGCTGCTTCGCTTACTCAGAGATCTTTGTAGAATGGAGAAGGATTTAGAACTTTGACGAATTCATTATTATTAATCCCTTAGTATCGCGATGTAACGTTGTCATTTATTTTTTGCACATAGATTTTTTAATATTGGTATTATAATGGACGATAGTAAAAAAGACAAAAATGTCCTATTAGTATTGTGTAATACAAAAGTAATGATATTTTTGTAATATAGTATAAATTTGAAGGATATTTATTATGTTAGATAGGTAATACAATTACTAAATTAGGAAATGATAATCTTGATTTGTAACAAACGAAAATGAAAAATGACAACCTTTCAATGGGACGGAGAGAATATTATTATTATTATTACCATTTTTTCTTATTTGATTTAAAAGGATATTTGTTTGTTCGAGGGATTGGATTGGATTTATACTATTCATCCAATTTTTTCCCCCAAAAAATATCAAATCAAACACCTATTTTTTATTTTTTATATTATACTAAAAATCAATTTTACATTCAAAACATCGCATCAACACTTATTTATATCACATTATACAACTATTCAAATTCAAAATTTTTACTATTTAAATCCCAACTCAAAATCCAAATCCCAAACAAACACACCCATATTTACTAGCATATTTAACATCCGAGTATGAGTTATATATGGCATTTAACAAAATTATAGCACTGTATTAGTTTAGAAAAATTATCCAAGGTTTCATCTATTGATTTTGATAAATCTAGTTTAAAACTTTTTTTTTTTTTTTATAACAAATACAATTTATTAGGAAAAGATGTTTGAGTGTATAATTCATCTAATTTTTTCCATAATGCCAAATCAGATTCTTGTTTGCTACTTTTATAATCAGGTGATGAACCAAATTCAATATTATGCAAGAAACATCAATTTCATCCAACTCAATTCTCCTCTCAAGATGAACTTGAGTTGCATGATTAGACTGTATTGCCTCGATTAATCTTTGAGTTACTAAAATATTTCTTATTTTTTGTTTCTAAATGCCAAAATCTAATTTTCCATTAGAAAGTTGAACACTATAGACAAACTGACTAGCCATTATATTATTTTCGAAAAACATATTTTAATTTTTTAAAAATAATATTCTATTTTTAATTTTAGACAATTATTCAGTTTAATTTTCACAAAAACATAGACAATTTTGCAAGCTATTTACACGAACAAAATTGAGCAGATTATCACACAACAAATAATCACAACAGAAAATTAAATCTCAGCAATATAGTACATAACTATTACAACATACATTCGTGATTATTCAACCGAAGGTACTCGAGAATCACTCATAGCTTTGAGGATCGGAATTTAGTAACCTTAGTTTCACAATAGTCTTTACAATTGTTTGTGTGAGAATATTAAATGCAGATGTTAAACCAAACACAAAAATAATAATATAAAAGAAGGTTCTAGGGTTTACGCTCTTAGCACAACAACAAAAAATTTATTTTCCTACAAAACAGTAACAAAAGACACAGAAAAACTTATTCGGACACAAATAAACACAAGAACAAAGTAAGATTTAAAAATTTTACAATATTTTAAACGAGGATCGTTCAAATATTTGATTATTAAAAAAAATTTTACAGAACTTTTACGATTTGCAAAATACATTTTAGATTTAGACTCCACAAAAAACGTCTAACCAAAATTTAAAATATCTATACCAAAATAGAGACAACTAACCCGATTTACACTTTATTATTAAAAGAAGTTTGAAAACAAAATCAATTTATCAAAAAATAGAAACATTTTTGTAACAAACTAACAAAAAATTGCACAAATCACACTCAACCGAGGCTAGAAAGCAAATATCGTGTGAGATTTTGGTCGGTTTAGAGCCGATCTAAAAGTATTAGAATTGAAACACTTAAAAATAGTTTGATTCAATCAAATCCTTTTAGATCTATGCGATTTAAAATTAAAAATTTACAAAACCGAAAAATAAAACACATTTTGAAACCAAAATCCACACCAAAAGCTTTAATCCAATTGTTATTAAAAATAGAAACATATCGAGATTTTATTAAAAAAATCGACGAAAAACTTTGAACTAGTTTTGGTTTGTAGGCTCAACCCCCAAACTACTTGAAAACACAAAATCGACACAATATACACCTAGCCAGTGATGAACACAAAATAATCAGCTCAAAATACACGACACACAACAAAAATTAGCCCCACGGGAAGATACAAGGCAAAACATAAACAAATCAGACACGTACAATGTTGAATGAGCCTTGTGCAGCTCGTAACAACAAAAATAGGGAGAAATCATACAAAATGAACTCACAAGATTACAAGAGAAAAGACACTGCCGTGAAGATGAAAGAGTGAGAGCATGGACGAGGCTAGAGAGAATGTGAAAGTTATAGAGTGAAAGTAAGAGAGTAATAATGAAAGGGCGCCCCATCATATCTCCAAATATATATGCAGGTCACAAGGCAACGGACGGTTGAGATCATAAATTTAGATCGGAAGGTCAGGATCTCGTCTAAGAAAAAGACACAGATCCTAAATCGGGTTATGGGCTGTGGTTCTGGTCAGATGCACAAATTCTTTTGGGCTATCTAGCTAACTGTGTTTTGTATCTTGTTTCGGGTGGATTCAATTGGACAAAAAAAATTTTAAAAGAAAATAATCTGGACACAAATTATCTATCTATCAATTTTATTTTGGCTATTATATATGTTCTAAATTCATGATGAATTTGGGGCAAAAATTGTTGTAACATTAGTCAAACTATCATTTGATGCGATGAATTGCGTAATATTTGAAATTTTAATTTTTTTTTTATTAACTTTTTGTAATTTTGTAAATTTTCACATTATTTAAATAATTGAGTTCTTATTTAACCACCACCCCTTGCCCACCACATATACAAATATTAAATTCATTCTTGCAAGTTGATCAATTTTCAACACAAGTATACACACGTAAGCATTCAATTTTCTGGATCAATACAGTGAACTTCAAGAAGATCCCCAAAAATAATTATACTAGAAAATTATTGGTTAATAATTAGTGATTTATTGAAGTTTGAAATAATCACAATGTTAAGTAAGTGTAAATCCATTGACGCAATTAATTAAAAAATAAATAAAAAAGTATGAAAAGAAAGAAAACACTTTAATAGGCACTATTGAAAAAATAAAATAAAATCCAACAGCAGGAATCTGTTTGTCTGCTTCCTCATACTATTTTAAATTTGTCATTTTCAGACACATGGGGTTTATATAATAATCAATTTATTCCAAGAACTCGTCTTCCTAAGTTGTTTCAAAATTCTGCAATACTCGTGTTTATATACAAGACTGAACTCAGGAATTTTTCCAGAACTAATTCCTAGGAAGAAAGAAAGAGAATAAAAAAAAAAAAAAAACCGGATCTTGAATCTTGAATCTTGGATCTTGTTGGATATATCTGGAAAAATTGAAGTATGGTTAGGGCAGGGTGTGTTGACGAGAGTGGAGTGAAGAGAGGGGCGTGGAGTGAGGAAGAAGACAACAAATTGAGAGCTTATGTTCTCAGATATGGCCACTGGAACTGGCGATTGCTCCCCAAATATGCTGGTATCATTATTTATTACTAATTCTGATCCACCCAGGTTGCAATGATTGATAACTGAGATTTAATTATGGCTGTCTAGGGCTGAACCGGTGCGGGAAGAGCTGCAGACTGCGATGGATGAATTATCTGAAACCAGGCGTGAAGAGAGGCCAATTCACCATCGAAGAAGGAGAACTCGTCAGAAGACTTCACCAGGAACTCGGCAACAGGTGTGTAAGAGAAAGATAATCAAATTAAATTAAATGCAAGAGAAAGAGAATTGATGAATAATGATGATTGATAAAATTAAATTACAGGTGGTCCGCCATTGCAGCAAAGCTTCCGGGAAGAACCGACAACGAGGTGAAGAACTACTGGCACACAAATTTCAACAGGCGTAGAAAAAGAAGCAGATGCGCTCGTAAATCGTCAGACAATATAATTGAGAGGATGAAGACAAATAATCCGATCCCTATTTTATTACAACAGACAGAAGAATCATCGTCGTCAGATGATCATGTGTATGTTTTGGAGTCGTCGTCGTCGTCGTCATCGAGCGGCAGTAACTGTGGGGATATGATGATGATCTGTGGCGGTGAGATGCAATCTGAGCCGTCGGATTCTAATTCTCTGGAGAGCACTGGTAGGAGTTTTTCTATCTTCGAGGAGTCTTTCGTTGTGGATACTTCTTACAACCAAGAATTTGATCTTCCCTTTTTGTTCGATTATGATTATGATTACTATTTTGGGGATTATAATTATGATTATAATTATAATGTGGGTAATGTGATTATGGGTTTTGAGGATATTATTGATAATGATGACATCAAATTGTTCTAGCCTGCAAGAAATTGACAGGACTACGATTACCATTAAAATATGTAAATGTAAAAATAAACTCAAAAAAATAAATAAATTATTTGTTATTCTTGTTTTTTTTGTTTTTTATTTTCTTAGGATCCGATTTTATGTCTATAATTTTTTGGGTAAATTATTTTTTTAGTCTCGTAACTGGACCCTTTATCATTCTAGTCCCGTAAGTGGAGCCTGTCGCAAACTAGTCCCGTAAGTGAAAAAAATTCGTTGTTTTAATCCTCCGGCGCCAGAGATGCATGCGTGGCTCGCCGGAGGGCACATATCGTTTCGGTTCCCGTGGAGATTCATCTTGTTTTCAGTTCTGGTGGAAAGTCATCTCGTTTTTCGGCTCCGGTGGAGTCATCTCGTTTTCGGCTCCGGTGGAGTCATGTTGTTTTCGGCTCCTGTTGAATCATCTCGTTTTCGGCTCCAGTGGAAAGTCATGTCGTTTTCGGCTCCGGTGAAATCATCTCGTTTTCGACTCCAGTAAAGTAATGTGATTTTCGGATGGGCAAGTTGAAATTACCTACATTGCTAAGGAATATCAAACTGCTAACATATGATCAAACCACTTGACATTGGACGACTTGAGAATATGAACCAAAAATTAAGGTCAAAATATATATATATATATATATGAGCAAAAACCAAAACCAAAACTAAAATATGAGCAGTTTGAGAAGGCAGTTTAGAACCGGACATATATATCTATATATATATATATATATCTGCCTAAGTTACTTATCATTGTTAGAAATAACTATAGACTTGTTATCTTATTATATGTAAAAGCTTGCAAGGAATATTAGATAAGATGCACAATGAATCTTGTTAGACATACACTATCGGTCTTAATCATATGGATTGTTGATGGTTCATTTTGGGGTTGTTTACTTCAAATGATTAGTTAACCGTGATAAGGTCTCTTAATACGTTTCTGTATTTGGAATCGAACTTATCAGAACTTAAAAATTGTACGCCGGCTCTCGTCTCAAGTTCAACATTCTTATACAGATCGAGTCCGAATTGAAGTTCAAGTTGTTATAAATTTTGGGGAAAAAACTAATGAGATTGTGTTATTATCGTCAAAATAAGGAGCCTATATATAGGCTATACAAAATAGACTCGATAGACTCAAATCTAAGTAATCTAATCTATGAATAAGATCAAATCTAGATATAAATCTACTAGATCTGAATATCTAAAATATCTCAACATCCCCCTCAAACTCAAGTGGTATAACATAAACCAATTTGAGTTTGATGAGAAATTTGAATATAAACGCAAAAAGAAAACATAAATATAATTAACAATTGACTCTCCACTAACCGGAGCAAAAAACAAGATGACTCTCCACTGGAGACAAAAATGAAATGACTCCACCGGAGCAGAAAACGATATGACTCCACCGGAGCCGAAAACGACACGACTCCACCGAAGCCGAAAACGATACGACTCCACCGAAGCCGAACACAAGATGACTCTCCATCGGAGCCGAAAACGAACCAAAAACGAGATGACTCCACTGGAGCCGTAAAAAATGAGATGACTCCACGGAAGCCGAAAACGACACAACTCCACTGGAGCCGAAAACGAGATGACTCCACCGGAGCCGAAAAACGAGATGACTTCACTGGAGCCGAAAAACGAGATGACTCTACCGGAGCCGAAAACGACACGACTCCACTGGAGCCGAAAATAAGATGACTCCACCGGAGCTGAAAAACAAGATGACACTCCACCGGAGCCGAAAACAGACAAATCGCAAACATAGGAAAGATCAGATCTCACGCAGGCAACAGACAAACAACGGACAGATGACAGATTATAGACAGATTTTCGACAGCAAATAAGCAACGAAAGTTAGCAGATCGCATGCAAACAACAGACAGGCAACAACAAATGGCAGATCGCACGCAGCAACAGACAGACAACGACAGATGGAAGATCGCACGTAGCAACAGATGGCAGATCGCACACAGCAACAGACAGACATATGACAGATCGTTTCAGATCGCTCGCAGGCACCAGACAAGCAACAAAGATTCCAGATTGCACACAGGCAACAGACAAACAACGGACATATGACAGATCGGAGACGAGACGAGACAGATTTGCAAAAAGACAACTTGCAAATGCATGATCTCAAAATCACAAGACCTCCGGGTACAATCCATGTTGAATGTACCCGGAGAAACACGGATTGGTAGGCTATATCTACGGCATGAGAAAAATAGGCTCTGATACCATATTAGAAATTTTGGGGGAAAATATTGAGATTGTCTTTTGATCATCAAAATAAGGAGCCTATATATAGGCCATACAAAATAGATTCGATACACTCAAATTTAAGTAATCTAATCCATAAATAAGATCAAATCTAGATATAAATCTACTAAGGGTGTGTTTGTTTGAGGGTTTGGATTTTGGATTTGAATTTTTGAAGATTTGTAAGTATGGATTTTTAAGTTGTGTTTGTTTGAAGGTTTGAATTTTGTAATGATTATGTTGGAAAAATTATTATTATATTAGAAAAGGTGATGTATTGATGTGATAGTTTGAAGTGAATGATATTTAAATATTGTTAAAATAAGTAAAAGTGAAAAAGTAAAGTGAGGTTGAAATTGATATATTTAAAATAATTTTTTTTGGAGATATTATTATTATTTTTATATTTATTTTAAGGGTTTGTTTGTTTGAAGGTTTTGATATTGAATTGATATTTGAACGATGAAGGATAGTGATTTCAATTGCTGTGTGATGCGATAAAACAATATGATTTATGTGATATTTTAAACGTAAATTTTTTTTTGCAATGTAACATCAGAAAGATCAAGTACGTGTTTGTAATGGTACTTTTGGACGGAAAATTTTTGATAGACAGTGCATTTTTCTATGGTTTGGGAATGTGGATATTCTGCTATGAAATGATTTACCACTACGTTATGGTTAAACCTTTGAAGTTGAGTCCACATTGAACCTCAACAACGAGATACGATGCGATTATCACGTTTTAGCAAGAACAAAACAATATCTGGTTAACATACGTAACGCAACCATCGGCCATTGTTTTTATGTTTATGTTCTTGATTCGTCACGATACGTCAACAACCAATCAGTAGTGGAGTCGAGATTAAACATGTACGCCGATGTAGGATGCAACGTCTACGGATCAAGAAAATATATGAAAGCGTTACCGTACGCCTGGTACAATTTTGAGCGTCGTACAAATCGTACCTAGATAAGTAATAGATGGTTCCAGACATCGCCGACCATTACCAACAATGTGTTATGTCCGGTGTTCAGTAGTACACACAAATTACTAGGAATACCTGAAACGTAAGTGCATTACGACATCATCCTTACTCCGATGGTGAAGTACGGTGAAGTCGCATCTCTGCCATGAACGATCGTAGCTCCGTCCACATTCCATCGACCTTCGTCTCTATTTTGTCGAAGCGTTCGTTACACAAGGTATGTAGATCGGAGTGGCTCGAGCCTGGCTGTGGCGGCCCATGTTCAGTGTGGGCTGGAGGATCGCCCCGGCGGTGGCGTTGCAAAATTCCCATGCTGAAAAGAGTCTCCATCCCACATGGAACCATTTGAGCATCTGGAACTCCGTCCGGAAGTTCCGCCACCCCGAGCCCCTTCGCCAGTCTTGTCACGTACGGGCCAACCGGAATGCTGCGTACCCTTGTGTCGGTGGCAGCAGTTATACAAAGTTTGGCTACCCAATAGCCCAGATGGAGTGGGACGCCTTCGTTCATGCTCCATAGGAACTCCAAATCTACCTTGCTTACTGCCGCAGTTGCATCTTTTCGGCCTGAAAGTGTATGAGCAAGTATGTTGTGGACGTACCTTAAAATAGGCGAGTTCAGCGTCGATGCCTTAGATGCTCCTGGATTGAAGTTCCGACTGCTGCTTATCCTAGGCCAATATACTGACCAAGACAGAGGCATCGTATGGGCCATGTTCTTGTACTCGCGTGTCTCCGTGAATTCCCGGTCGTATAGTCCCAGTGCAACGGAGAAGTCCGTGATGGATAGTGAGTAGCTACGGCCTCCCAGACGAAACTGCAGCGCATTGGGTTTATCGTAAAGATACAAGTTCGGTCTGTCATGCTTTAGTGTGCAGAGAAACTCTAACGTCAATTCTTTGTACGCAGGCTCATTGATCTCAAAAAACCTCCTCCACGCCCCACACGAAAGTAGTCTCTCCATTTCCAATTCCGCACCCATAGCTTCAACGGCTTGATCATAGATTGTGCGTCCGGTTAGCATCGGTAACATGCTCATTCTCGCGTATTTCGCCTCCGTATCTGGATCAGTGCTGCGTAACTGATTGAAAGGAATCACACCATCATCGGATTCTACTTCCGTCGCATTGGCACTTTTTCCTCCGCGAAGACGTTTTCCTGTCATCGATTTCCTCATTCTCGACCCCATACCACCTGCAAGAATGTAGCCAAGTAAGAGTTACCAGCAATTATAAAAACCGTGGTGTTGGGTGATCATATGTCAATGCGTTATGAATGTTATGAATGTGCACTGAATGGTTAAGACAATACACGGGACAACATTTCCAGAAAAGAACTACGCAGCAAATAGGAAGACCGACAGCACAGGCTGTGCACACCAAGTGAGGCGTTTGATGGCGTCCTCCTGTCAACAGAAAATAGGCAGACTGACAGCACAGGGTGTGCAGTCCGTCACGTAATTTGCTGGCATGCATGTGGGTGGAAATCTCAGCGGGTCGCGCACATGTGCTGTTACAGGGGTAAATTTTGGTCCATTGTAGTGAAATGTTGTTTCCTTGCTGATAATCGAAAATAAGGACATAAACAAAGTGGTTCACAGGTACGTTAGCGTTAACCTTACAACACCAGTGGTTGGCATTCAAGAGAAAAATATTATCATTAGACAATAGAACGGACAACGGCGGACGCGTGCGGCCATTACACGTCCTCGTGTTCGTATCTGTTAATCCAAAGCCATTCCGCAATCATATCACGGAATTCATTTTGATCTTCCCGGTCCTGACG